CGGCTCTAACATGAAACGGCCGGCCCCCTCACAGTGTGCCACCCGGTGGCACCTTCTGCTGAAGTCCCCAACCCAGCCCTGCCGCCGGGCCCCCTGAAGGCGGCCCTGGCGGCGGGCCCCCCTCCCGGCCGGGCCCTCGGACCGTGTCCGAAGTGCCCGACCGGTCAGTCCGCCCCTGGATGGAAGTAGATTTAAAGGTGCTGCACACAGAGCGTGCATTCCAGAGGGCAGCTTTAAAGGAGGAATTATAGTGAGAATTACATGGAATGGGTATTAGGTTGTTGTGGTTTCTGGTGTTTGTACCAGGTGGCTGAGTAGTGGAGGGACCAGGATTTGGAGAGACATCACCCGCTGCTAGGAGTAGTAGGATGGAAAGGAAGAGAAGGTGGGAGTAAGATTTAAATGTTGGGGATGAGAGTTTGTATTTTGGGTATTTAGGAGGGGTTTGTGGAGAAAGGCTGGATAAATATGAATAAAGTGCATGTGATGAATACTGAGATGAGGGGAGCAGAGAGGGAGCAATGAAGATGGTGTCAGCAGGAACAGGTAAGTAAAGGGATAGAGAGATTTTAATGATGAGGGAAGTGAGAGAGAAAGTGAAAAATAGAAGTGAGAACATTAGCAGGAGAATAGGTGCTGTGTTTTTAAGAGCTGTGGTTAGGAGGGTTAAGGGTTAAAGAGGTATTGTGTGAGTATAGCTATTTTTGGGTGTGGGGGGCTTGGTGGACAGAGGCTAACATAATTGGTTTAACAGGTAAGGTAGGTAATTTGAACTATCTATAAATGTAGTGATAACCATGGGGAGGGTGGGAAGCGATCATCCAGAAATGCTACCTCTGCTTATGGCAAGTCCTGCAGGGTTGTGTGCTGGGAGTCCTGGGTGTAGCTGATTCAATATTGTATGGGGCCCAGGCTCTGCTTATGGCAAGTCAAGGGCTTTGTGTGCTGGGAGTCCTGGGTGTAGCTGATTCAATATTGTATGGGGCCCAGAGCTCTGCTTATAGCAGAATCCTGCAGGGTTGTGTGCTGGGAGTCCTGGGTGTGGCCCCTGTTCAATGTTGTATGGGGCCCAAGGCTCTTAGCATGGCAAGTCCTGCAGGGTTGTGTGTGCTGGGAGTCCTGGGTGTAGCTGATTCAATATGTGTATGGGGCCCAGGCTCTGCTTATGGCAAGTCCTGCAGGGTGTGTGCTGGGAGTCCTGGGTGTAGCTGATTCAATGACATGGGGCCCAGGCTCTGCTTATGGCAAGTCCTGCAGGGTTGTGTGTTGGGAGTCCTGGGTGTAGCTGTTCCAATATTGTATGGGGCCCAGGCTCTGCTTATGGCAAGTCCTGCAGGGTTGTGTGCTGTGAGTCCTGGGTGTAGCTGTTTCAATATTGTATGGGGCCCAGGCTCTGCTTATGGCAAGTTCTGCAGGGTTGTGTGCTGGGGAATCCTGGGTGTAGCTGATTCAATGTTGTATGGGGCCCAGGCTCTGCTTATGGCAAATCCTGCAGGTTTTTGCTGGGAGTCCTACAGGTGTAGCTGATTCAATGTGTATGGGAATTCAGGCTCTGCTTATGTTGAAGTCCTGCAGGGGTTGTGTGCTGGAGTCCTGGGTGTAGCTGATTCAATATTGTATGGGGCCCAGGCTCTGCTTGTGAATCCTGCAGGGTTGTGTGCTTTCAGGTCTGGGTGTGGCTGATTCAATGGGGCCCAGGCTCTGTATGGCAGAATCCTGCAGGGTTGTGTGCTGGGGTCCTGGGTGTGGCTGATTCAATATTGTATGGGGCCCAGGCTCTGCTTATGATCCTGCAGGGGTTGTGTGCTAGAGTCCTGGGTGTAGCTGATTCAATATTGTATGGGGCCCAGGCTCTGCTTATGGCAAGTCCTGCAGGGTTGTGTGCTGGGAGTCCTGGGTGTGGCTGATTCAATATTGTATGGGGCCCAGGCTCTGCTTATGGCAAGTCCTGCAGGGTTGTGTGCTGGGAGTCCTGGGTGTAGCTGATTCAATATTGTATGGAGCCCAGGCTCTGCTTATGGTAAGTCCTGCAGGGTTGTGTGCTGGGAGTCCTGGGTGTAGCTGATTCAATATTGTATGGGGCCCAAGCTCTGCTTATGGCAAGTCCTGCAGGGTTGTGTGTAGAACAGGTGTAACTGATTCAATATTGTATGGGGCCCAGGCTCTGCTTGTAGCAAGTCCTGCAGGGTTGGGTGCCTGGGAGTCCTGGGTGTAGCTGATTCAATATTGTATGGGGCCCAGGCTCTGCTATGTAAGAATCCTGCAGGTTGTGTGCTGGGAGTCCTGGGTGTAGTTGATTCAATGTGTATGGGGCCCAGGCTCTGCTTATAGCCAGAATCCTGCAGGGTTGGGTGCTAAGGAGTCCTGGGTGTAGTTGATTCAGCTATTGTAGCCTGGGGCCCAGGCTCTGCTTATAGCAAGTCCTGCAGGGTTGGTGCTCAGGTCCTGGGTCAGCAACTGATTCAATATTGCTTATGGGGCCCAGGCTCTATGTAGAATCCTGCAGGGTTGGGTGCTGGGGTCCTGGGTGTAGCTGATTCCAATATTGCTTGGGGCCAGGCTCTGCTTGCCGTCCTGCAGGGTTGTGTGCTGGGAGTCCTGGGTGTAGTTGATTCAATATTGTATGGGGCCCAGGCTCTGCTTATGGCAAGTCCTGCAGGGTTGTGTGCTGGGAGTCCTGGGTGTAGCTGATTCAATATTGTATGGGGCCCAGGCTCTGCTTATGGTAAGTCCTGCAGGGTTGTGTGCTGGGAGTCCTGGGTGTAGCTGATTCAATATTGTATGGGGCCCAAGCTCTGCTTATGGCAAGTCCTGCAGGGTTGTGTGCTGGGAGTCCTGGGTGTAGTTGATTCAATATTGTATGGGGCCCAGGCTCTGCTTATGGCAAGTCCTGCAGGGTTGTGTGCTGGGAGTCCTGGGTGTAGTTGATTCAATATTGTATGGGGCCCAGGCTCTGCTTATGGCAAGTCCTGCAGGGTTGTGTGCTGGGAGTCCTGGGTGTAGCTGATTCAATATTGTATGGGGCCCAGGCTCTGCTTATGGCAAGTCCTGCAGTTTATCAAATCAGTATTAAGTCACAGTTAATGGTGTGACTCGCTGCCTATGAAAGAGCATTGCGTACATTGAGAAGTGGACCTTGTGTTAACCCAACCTTTGGAAGAACCATCTATGTTTGGAGTTCAATCTCCTCAGCTGTCTGTTATACCAATAGGCAACAAATGTTTCCTTTTGTTATAAGCATCATAGGTTATCAAATGACTTTCATTAATAAAATGGTAATTAGCAAAAATTATGGATTTATTTATTGATATTTTAAATTAAACAAAATACAATTTTTACTGTGCGGATATCGTCTTTCTAAACATTGATCGGCTGACAACTTCTCTCGGTTAAACTGAATTACATTGTAAGAGGGTGACCTTTGAGCTAAAATCTCTGATTTCTTTTATAAAGGGCTAGAAAACACCTTTGAAACATTGACTTTGAGATATGAAAATATATCCAACCCATGGAGTCCAGGTGACTACATTGTCCAGTCGAAGTTGGTCCATACTCAGAGAAACACAGAGAAGCAAGCTGCCTTCAGATTTGGGTTGCCATTACCAAGACACCTAAACTTCCAAAATCCAAACAAGAAGAACAAATGGGGACACGCAAGGAGTTACCGAATCCAGTACAACTCACACGCAGACAGCGTACTACCCCGAAACTGGAAAGAGGAAAAGGGCGTGTCCTGGTCAAGGTATATACCCAGTCAAGGACAATTATTACTGGTTAGAACGTCATGGAAGTGAGCAAACAGATCAAAGATGTAATACACACACTCATAAGGTGGAGCTATAGAAATACTTCCCTTTCTTCTTAATACAATCAAAAATGCTGAAACAGAAACAAAGGGAGCAAGTGTGTGACAGTGAGCTTGTCTCTAGCACGCATTTGTTTGTCATTGAGCTTGTCTGTAGTGAGCATGTGTGTGACAGTGAGCTTGTCTCTAGCACGCATTTGTTTGTCATTGAGCTTGTCTGTAGTGAGCATGTGTGTGTCAGTGAGCTTGTCTGTACTGAGTATGTATATGACAGTGAGCTTGTCTGTTGTGAGCTTGTGTGTGTCAGTGAGCTTGTCTGTAGTGAGCATGTGTGTGTCAGTGAGCTTGTCTGTACTGAGTATGTATATGACAGTGAGCTTGTCTGTTGTGAGCTTGTGTGTGTCAGTGAGCTTGTCTGTAGTGAGCATGTGTGTCAGCAGGTTTGTCTGTAGTGAGCATGTATGTGTGTCAGTGAGCATGTCTATAGTGAGCATGTGTGTGAAAGTGGAGTTGCCTGTAGTGAGTATATGTGTAACAGTAAGCTTGTCATTAGTAAGCATGAGTGTGTGTCAGTGAGTTTGTCTGTAATGAGCATGTGTGTGTCAGAGAGTTTGTCTGTAGTGAGCATGTGTGTGACAGCTTGTCTTTCCTGAGGATGTGTGTGTCAGTGAGCTAGTGCTGGTCTGTAGTGCGTATGTGTATGTGAGTTTGTTTGTAGTGAGCATGCATGTTTGTACTATTGAGCTTTTCTGTACTAAGTTTGTGCATTTGTATCAGTAAGCTTTTGTGTGTCAGTGAGCCTACTTGTTAGTATCAGTAAGCTTATGTATATCAATAAGATTGTCTTCCTGTGAACCTGTGTATCAATGAGCTTGTGTCAGTGAGGTTGTCTGTGTCTGCATGTGAGTATGCTTACTGTATAATTGAAATTTCTACTCTGAAAGGACCAATATTTTGAATTAGAAAAAGAAGCATAACAATAATATATATAATAAAGCATTCTTTTTTTAATTGGATGACCCAGAGTGCTGTTATGGTTTGGAAAGAATTGTACGTGTCTGTGTGTACACATATACACACACCCTTTTTTAATACATACCGGCACCCTGGGTCAGAAAAAAGTTCAAGTTTCAGTTCGTTACTGGACCATTCACCAGCATAATAAAAAGACAACAAAGACTATTTGAGGTACCAATAATGGATATAAAGGGCTAATTTAGAGGAATATGTAAAGTAGACAATGACTATAATGACATTTAGTATCTGACATGCACTGTATTGTCCACTAGATACAGTTTGGCGGTCACACGTTACAGCGACATGGAGATGAGAAGCAGTGATATTTTCCTTCAATGTGAGCCGTGGGACCCCTACGTGTACTTTGAGAGCTTTGTAAGGAATAATGAAGATATCGTTAACAAGGTAAATAATAGTGTATCTGATATTACACTATACAAGAGTTTCACCTTACTATATTATCCCTAGTGGTGATTATCTCCATGTTTGAGATCATGACCAGTAGCCCCTGTTCCCCCAGATATCACCACACTGCCCCTGCCCCCCCACCTACCACCACACTTCCCCTGCTCCCTCAGCTACCACCACACTACCCCTACCTACTACCACACTTCCCCTGCTCCCCTAGATACCACCACACTGCCCCTGCCCCCCCACCTACCACCACATACCTTTTCTTCGCTACAACCACACTGCCCCTACCCCCACCTACCACCACATTGCCTCTGCCCCACTGCCCCCTGCCCCCAGCAACAACCACACTGCCCCCACCTACTCCACCACACTGCCCCTGCCCCAGCTTCTGCCCTGACCCCCGGCTACCATCACACTGCCACTGCCCCTGCCCCCCCACTGCCCCTGCCCCCAGCCACCACTGCCCCCACCTGCACCACCTGCCTTACAGCTACCACCACCTGCCCCCACCTACCACCACACTGCTCCTGCCCCCACCACCACACTGCCCTGCTCCCCCAGCTATCACCTGTACCCCTGCTCCCCCACCTACCACCACACACTGCCCCTGCTCCCCACCTACCACCACACTTCCCCTGCTCCCTAGCTTCCACCACACTGCCCCTGCCCCCCACCTACCACCACTGCCCTGCCCCTTTCCTGTGTCCCCAGCTACCACCACACTGCCCCTGCTCCCCACCTACCACCACACTGCCCCTGCTCCCCAAGCTCCCCCACCTACCACCACACTGCCCCTGTACCCTGCTCAGCCACCTACCACCACACTCCTGCTCCCCCACCTACCACCACACTGCCCCTGCTCCCCACCACCACTGCCCTGCCCCCCCTGCCCCGCACCTACCACTGTTCCCCAGCTACCACCACACTGCCTGCTCCCCACCTACCACCACACTGCCCCTGCTCCCAAGCTCCCCCCACCTACCACCACACTGCCCCTGCCACAATACCCCTGCTCAGCCACCTACCACCACACCTCCCTGCTCCCCCACCTACCACCACACTGCCCTGCTCTCCCACCTACCACCACAATACCCCTGCTCCCTACCACCACAATACCCCTGCTCCCCCACCTACCACCAATACCTGCTCCAGCCACCTACCACAACACACTGCCCCTGCTCCTCCACCTACCACCACAATACCCCTGCTCCCCCACCTACCACAACACTGCCCCTGCTCCCCCACCTACCACCACACTGCCCCTGCTCCCCTACCTACCCCTTGTGTCCCCCCTCCAAGCAAAACCTCTGAACTGCTCACTGAGAACATTTGTTCCCTTTTGAGAAAGATGCAAACCATCTTTTTTGTACATTATTTCCATGACATGCGCACAGTCCTTTTTTGCATATGTCCTTAACCATAACCTTAGAACCCCCCAATAAGACACTGACCCCAATTTAAAGTGGATAAAATGTCATGGCTTTAATAAATTATGTATATAAATAACAAAAATGGGCCATTTGCAGACATTCCCAATTTTCACATAGACACATAATTCACCCCAACTTTAACAGTACTATACCCACTGACAACAACCCATAACATAATCTAACAATAATCCAAATAACCAGATAATAACATAACACAAAGCACGGCCACAACTGGCCTTACACTCCAAGTGTTTTAACATTATAGGGGCATACCAAGATACCCCTACAACCACCGACTTAACATTGTTGGGGCATACCAAGATACCCCTACAGCCACCGGTTTAACATTGTAAGGGCATACCGAGATACCCCTACACCCACCGACTTAACATTGTTGGGGCATACCAAGATACCCCTACAGCCACCGGTTTAACATTGTAAGGGCATACTGAGACACCACTACACCCACCGACTTAACATTGTTGGGGCATATCGAGATACCCCTACACCCAGCGACTTAACATTGTAAGGGCATACCGAGATACCCCTACACCCAGCGATTTAACATTATAGGGGCATACCAAGATACCCCTACAGCCACCGGTTTAACATTGTAAGGGCATACCGAGACACCCCTACAGCCACTGGTTTAACATTGTAAGGGCTTCAAAAGAAAGATTCTGTCCCTTTGATAAAAATCTCGTGGAAATTGATAATGTGTCTTGCAACAGGGGTAGGGGAAATCATGTTGTTAACAGAGTTGATGTGCTGTAAGATCCTTCGTCTGAATTGTTGAAAAGTTTTGCCTATATATTGGACACCGCAGCTGCACATGATTAAATAGATAAGTCGTGTGGTACTACAGTCCAGAGCATTAGTATCAACTTTGATTTGGGTCTGTGTAGATACGACCGTTTTTGAAGGTAAAACATATTGGCATGCCTTGCAATGGCCGCATTTGGCCGTTCCTTTCACAGAAGATAGCCAATTGGTTGGTGGTGAAGGGAATGTCAAATGGCTATGAACTAATTGATCATAAAGATTGGTCGGCGTGCTGTTAGCGATGGATGGTTTGGTAAGATTTTGTTTAGCACTGGGTTATGTAGGAGAATTGGCCAGTTCCTATGTAGGATAGTGGTCATATTGTCCCAGCCTTGGTCAAAGGTGGCGATACAGCGAGGTGCCTTAAGTTCTTGTGCTGGTCTCGAGGATTGGAGACTGGAGTGTCTAGCTATACCACACACTCGGTGAAAGGCCTGTTTTAGGACCCGGTTGGGGTATCCCAATTCCTTGAACCGTGACCTCAAAATCTTGCATTCGTTGTTAAAAGTTTGGTCATGTGAGCAATTGCGTCTCGCTCTAAGGTATTGGCTGTAGGGAATGGAAGCCTTTAAACGATATGGATGGTGGCTCGTCCAGTGCAACAGGCTATTGGTAGATGTCTCCTTCCTGAACAATTCAGTTTGGATGGTCCTGTCTTGCTCGAGTAGGATATTTAAATCCAGGAACACCAGTTCGTGTTCATCAATCACATATGTCAATTTAAGATTGATGTCATTGTCATTCAACATAGTGACAAAGTCTTCAAACACGGGGACAGAACCTGTCCACAGGAGCAGCATGTCGTCAATATATCTATGCCAGCTCAGAATGTATTGATGGAAACAGCTGAACTTTGTGGCAGTGACGACATGCTGCTCCCACCACCCTAGAAATAAATTGGCATAAGTGGGGGCACAAGCCGTCCCCATAGCGGTACCAGATATTTGGAGATAAAAGGCTCCGTTAAATACAAAATAGTTGTGTGTGTAAGGATAAATTCAAGGGCAGCTAGGATGAATTTCTTTTGTAGATCATTATATAAGGTATTATCAAGAAAAGAACTGCAAGCCCTTAGACCTAAGTGATGGGGTATGTTGGTATATAGAGAAACCACATCAAGGCTTGCTAGCTGAGTGTACGGTGGAACGGTCATATCCTGTAATGTAAGAAGGGTGGACTTTGTATCTTGAAGGTACGATGGTAATTTGAGTACTAGAGGATGTAGAATCTTTTCTACAAATTTACTCAGGGCTTCTGTAAGACAGTTATTGCCAGATACTATAGGTCTACCGGGGGGGGACGGGTACCCTTGTGTATTTTCGGGAGACAGTAAAAGGTGGCAATAGTTGGAGTTTTATTAGGTAATAGAAATTTGAGTTCGTCCTGGTTAATGATCTGTTGATTGAGAGCATCGTGCAATAAAGTTTCCAGTTCATTAACATAGGTACTTGTAGGGTCTGAGGAAAGAATTCTATAGTAGGAGATGTCATTAAGATGACACAGGCACATATCAACATATTCAGACCGTTTCATGAGGACAATGTTGCCACCTTTGTCAGCTGGTTTGACTATAAGATCAGTTTGCTGTTTGAAATCTTGAAGAGCCTTACGCTCGGCAAAGCTCAAGTTGTCTATGGTATGGCTAGGCTTGTTATTCATTTCAAATTCGTTCAGTGACATTTGAAGGAAAAGGTCAATATGAGGAGTGTCTGTGAAGTTGGGGGTGAAATAGCTTGGTGGCTTGAAATCTGTCAATGGTCTACTCGGATCGTTTTCCTGTGCAAGACTGTCCAGAATTTTAGACATTTCATATTCCTGTATAGTAAGGCCCAAATCATTTGCTGCAATTTGATCTTTTTTGGCGTGCAAAATGTTGAGGGCAAGTTTTCTGCCAAAGAGATTTAAATCTTTGGACCAATTGAATTTGTTACATTTGGGGGTAGGTACAAAGGATAGTCCCTTGTTGAGTAGACTGATATGATGTACTGAAAGCTGAAAGTCTGTGAGATTAATGATTTTATCTGGAATTAAGTTCTTGGGGTCCGGTTTTGGGTCTTGTACGACCATCGATCCCTGTCTCTTAAACGTCCCCGTTGTTGGTATGGTTGTTGCTGATCTAAAAAAGGATTTGAAGAGGGGACAGTTGAGGTAGAGTTGTTCGTGTCCCCTGAGATGGGTATATCCAGAAAGGAAACTACCTTTTCAGGGTTCTTAAGGATACTCTTATTGGAGTTTGACTGTAAACTGGTGTCTTTTGTATATGTTCTGTTCCGTCTGTAAGGGGATCTCCATCTGTTCTGTGATTGTTGGTCCTGGTCTGACCAGTCTGTTTCGGCAGAAGAGGAGCCCCTATAGCTGTTTTTGCGTCTCGTATTTTTGTTGGTTTGTCGGAAAATGGTTCCACTTTTAAAATCTTTGAAGTCTCTTTGAAATTTGTTGTGTTTTTTGATTTTTAGATGGTGTCTAAAGTTGGTAATGTTTTGTTGCAATTTGATTTCCATAGGGGTATACAGATCATCTGATTTATACTTTTTGATGAGGGCAATTGCTTTTAGTAGGGTTTTGGAGATAACCTCTCTCCTTTCTACTCCAAACCCTACCACTACTAGAGTGTATGCAGACTCTGGAACCTGTACATATATTCCTTTATCCTCACTCACTAGTATTACCAATTTTTGTTAAATGTTTCCTCACAATCCCCTTTTCTCCCTCTATATACGCCCTCAGCACCTACAGGTGGTCCTTTGGACATGTCTAATTTTGGACACCCACGAGAATCACATTAGATCAAGAGAGGCAGTCTATTTAGGAACGTCTTTTGTATAATACCAATAAAGTATCTTCTAGATTTTTATCAAAGGGACAGAATCTCTTTCTTTTGAATTTCTACTATTTAGGGTTACCCCCTTATTTTCTGTCTGTCATATGAAGATAATCTCGTTGCCATTTTCTTCTTCTTTCTTCTTAACATTATAGGGGCATACCGAGATACCCCTACACCCACCGACTTTACATTATAGGGGCATACCAAGATTTTGTACACCCAGTGACTTAACATTGTTGGGGCATACCAAGATACCCCTACAGCCACCGGTTTAACATTGTAAGGGCATACTGAGACACCACTACACCCACCGACTTAACATTGTTGGGGCATATCAGTAGACCGGGTGAGGGGGGAGCAATGAAGATTTTTTGCACAGGGCGCCTAAAGGTCTATGGCTGGCCCTGGCCAAACCAATTAGTAAATCAGACAGTAACACAACTAGAGCTCTGTGGGGTGGGGCAGCTTCTTTAATTTTGGACAATCTGACAAATGTTACCATTAGGAGAGCAACAGTTTTAAACCTACAATTTACACAACACTGGCGTGATGATACCATGCATTTAATGTTTTGGTTTTTTTAGGATCTGGTCGCTTGGGTAACGGTGGGATTCCTGCATATTCCCCACGCTGAGGACATTCCCAACACTGCCACACCAGGGAATTCTGTAGGTTTCTTACTCCGTCCATACAACTTCTTTGACGAAGATCCATCGGTGGCTTCCAGGAACACGATCATCGTTAAACCTGCAAAGGAAGACTTTAGTGAAGTGAAGATTCAGCGTTGGACTCCTGAAATCCTTGGCAATTGTGTTTCTCAAACACCGTTCCATTATAATGGTACATACTTTTCCGACTGAGGGGCGAATGCCGAGGTTGGGAGAAGACAACATCTGACCTTGAAATTCAGGAAGACCCTGAACTGTATAATCCCTGTTAGTTTTTTTTTTTATTTAATAAATTGGAAAACAGCATAGATATTTATTGAAGAAGAGTTTGCTGCACACAGGGATTCCGGATCACCATATTTCATGGTCAGGGAAGATGATTTTGGTATTCTGTGGACAATGGTTGTAAGTAGGTAGAAATCATGTGATCAATAATGAATGTACCACTGTAACTCCTTTGGGATTCAGGCTGTGATTAATTCACTGAATTCACTTGGGGCGACACTTTCATCCCCTGGCTTACATCTTGCAATACGCTAAACGTCACTCAGAATTATCGTGAAATGGCAGTTTGAGCTGTAAATGAGATTAAAAATTAAAAAATATTCCATATTCTCTCTTGCTGTCTGTGTTTCGGAAGATCTGGTTTTGGATCTCTAAACCTGAAAGGTGTGATAATAAAATATGAAGACAATAAGAGTTATGTAGTGTGTGGGTGGATGTTCACGAGGCGTGGATTGGAATGATCTGGGATGGACAATCTCTTCACATATTGATGTATCCAGACTTTTTTTTTTTGTGATTTAAAACAAGCCCAGATTAGTACCCAAAAGACGTAGTCAGGCTGTATACAAGTGGCAGTAATTTGGATTATTAACAAGAATCAGAATGGACAAACTGAAACAAATGTTATAGTGCAGAGTCACCTGTAAGCCGTTCCGATAAATCTGTTTAAACCAATAATGCAAACAGACTCATATTCTGCCCATTGCTGGCGGTGGATGACCCAGCCGGGAGACATGAGTGGGTTCCAAAAAAGCCCCAGTGGTAAATTGCCACAGTTGTGTTTTGCTAGCCACAGTCCGGTTGGCTAGAAACAGAAATATATGTGAAGATCCCGACCTCCGATGTGATGACAGCTAATTATACTGCAGCCGCTTAGCACATTCTGCTCTGACTACTCCTATGCGCTGCAGAGAATATGACATCATAGCTCCTCCTACTGCATCAGCTGGAGCATCCAGGTGTGAGGAAGCAGTGGATGCAGCTTGCACTGAAATAAGAACAGCTTAAAGTGACACTCTAGTCACCAAAACAACTTTAGCATAATGAAGTGGTTTTGGTGCATAGGCTATGTTCCTGCAGTCTCATTTGGGATTAATGCAATGTGGGATAGGGCACTGGAGGTAATGTGGGATAGAAAATGGGAGTTGAGGGGTTAATGTAATGTGGGATAGGAGATGGGAGGTAAGGGGTTAATGTAATGTGGGGACAGTAACGTAAAGGGGTTAATATAATGCGGGGATAGTAATGTAAGGGGTTAACGTAAAAGGAGGCGATTGCAGGAATTGGGGTTGGAGTTAGACATGTGCAATTCGTTTCATTTAGAATGTACATTCGGACAAATTTCGTGTAATTCGGACGTTCGGATGCTTACGAATGTCCGAAGTGCCAAACCGAATTGCTGAAGTTCCAAAGTGCTTCGGATTTCTGAAAAGTGGCAAAACAAGAGAGGGAGGGAAATTTACATGAATGATGACTGGAATATTGACCAATAAGCTAATTCCTGGCACTGGGAGCCCAAGAGATCTGTAAATGGTTGTGGTGACAGTCCGAGCACTGGGAGCGCTATAGATGTGTTTGTGGTGACAGCCCGGGCACTGGGAGCCCTATAGATGTGTAAGTGGTTGTGGTGACATTCCGGGCACTGGGAGCGCTATTGATGTGTAAGTGGTTGCAAAAAGTGGTTGCAACTGCTTAGCAAACAACCCCAAAACATTTACTACGTAATATATTTGCGGGGCGCAGAGACTCTGATATGGGTTTGCACTGGAGGTGCTTTCCCCTCTGTGTCTCTCCTATACTGCCTCCCCATTAGTGTCTCTCCTTCTACGCCAACCCCCATTTATTGCAGTTTAAAGACATTACTGGGAGTATTATTGCTGTGGAGCTCTGTTATACACTCAGACACATTACTGGGAGTATTACTGCTGTGGAGCTCTGTTATACACTCAGTCACATTACTGGGAGTATTACTGCTGTGGGGCTCAGTTATACACTCAGTCACATTACTGGGAGTATTATTGCTGTGGAGCTCTGTTATACACTCAGACACATTACTGGGAGTATTTTTACTGTGGAGCTCCGTTATACACTCAGACACATTATTGAGAGTATTATTGCTGTGGAGCTCTGTTATACACTCAGACACATTACTGGGAGTATTATTGCAGTGGAGCACTGTTATACACTCAGACACATTACTGGGAGTATTATTGCTGTGGAGCTCTGTTACACTCAGACTCGCCAACAATATGGAGCTCCTAGAAAAGAGGGACAGAGGGATTTGGAACAAAAATAGGGACAAAAGAGAAAAAAAGTTACCTGTGCTCTAACCCTAATCCCAATATATATTTAAATAAATGGAGGTGTTTAGTTACTCCAATGGCCATTAGATGTGAGCCTGTCTACCAAATCAAGGCAAACCTCTTAGGTGGGTCCTACACAAACAATTCACCTTGAGCGGCGTTCAATGAACATACCAGACGAAATAAAAAGTGAGATTAACCCCTTAAGAACGTCCTTGCCATCCAGGGGACTTACCGGGTCCCCCGCCAATCCCACGACGGCGGTTGTGATCCGGCCCTCCAAGTCCATGTGATCGCTGGATCCTTGCAATAACATGGCCGGAATACTCGGCTCATGCAGTGCCAGCAGGGGGACTGCCTGAGCTCTCAGGCTGTCCCCCTGCTGCCTGTTAAAAAGTTTTAAAAGTGAGTAAGGTTTTTGCAATGTGTATTTCGTAAAGCTGGTGTGTGCTATTCCTGCACAGAACCCCATATTGTGTTCAGCTACATCTGTTGAGTATAACGATACCCCCATTGTATGCCTTTGGCACTTTTCTGTAAAGCTACAATGCTATTTCAGTTTCTATAGTTAGAATTTTCGTGGATATGACAGATAAACCTCTACATACGTATTAACCCTTGGGGTGAGCGGCAGCATTGTAACATATCTATACCTTTATACTGATGGGGCTGGTCTGGTCAGTTTTGTGGCGATTCTGGGGTCTCAGTGATGCACTGATAGCTGGCATGCCCGGGGGCTTTTTTTTAGAATCTTGCTTTCCTTGAGCTCCTTCCCATATTGGTGTTAGAGCTGCAGAAGTCGCAGCTTCAGGACCGGCGGGTCATTTTTCACTGTGACAATTTGGGGGTAGTGCAGACCATTAATCAGCTTATGGCCTCCTGTTCCCAGTGATTTGTTTGCTTTGGTGCATGGTGCTGCGTTGCTTGTGCCTTAGTATGACTTGGAGGGCAATGCATATCCCTCTTTTGTAACCCTTCCCTCTCTCTTATAAACAGTAACTTAAATGGTAAATTAACCCCTTAACGCCGGATGACGGGCTGGGTCCGTCATGCGGTAAAGTTAACCCCAGATCACTGCGAGTGCGGCGATCACGGGTTTACAGCTCCTCCGATCTGCCTCTGTATTAGACGCAGACCGGGATCTCCCGATCGCGCTGTCCCTGCAGCAATGATCGCTCTGACAGGCTCACGATCCACCTCCCTGCACTTCCGCGTCCAGTGTGACGTGCAGGGAGACGGATCACTGCTGATCTTCTCCCTGTGTAAAAAAATAAATAAAGTAAAAGTAAAATCCCACCTCCCCATTTCCCCTGCTTTAATAAAATTAACCCCTTCCCTGCCAATTGAGCACTGACTACAGTGATCAATTGGCTGGGTATACATTTTACTGTGAACTGATTTTTTTTTTTAACTCCTGAGGGTCAACCTTATTTTTTTTGTAACCCTCAGGGGTTAATTTTATTTTGTTAATTCATTTAAATATATTAAAATGATATATTTAGCTAGCTGGGGTGGGTGGAAGTTAGTGGGGAATTTGGTGTTAGTCTAACTAGGGGTTAACGTTAAAAAAAGTTTTAAAAAGTTAAAAAAAATGTTGTAATAACATTTTTTTTTTAAAGTTAACAAAAATCTCACCCCCTTTACCTAGTCCTAATAAAAATTAACCCCTTCACTGCCAGTTGATCACTACCTACAGTAATCAAAATACAGATCACAGTATTATACTGTGGAATGATTTTATTTTTTAACGCCTTAGGGTTCACTTTTATTTTATTTTTAACCCTCAGGAGTTCAATTTATTTAATTAATTTAAATATTTTAAAATGATATATTTTGCTAGCTGGGGTGGGTTAGAGTAATGGGAAATTGGGGAATTAAAGGTTAGTGCTGCTTACTGTTAGTTAGGGGTTAACGGTAAAAAAAAAGTTTATAAAAATGTTAAATCTGTAAAAGAAAGTTTTATGAAGGTTTAGGAAAGTTAAAAAAATTAATAAGCAAAAAAAGTTCAAAAACAAGTTTTAAAAAGTAAAACAAGTTTTAAAAAAGTAAAAAAATACATTTAAAAATGCTCATTACCACTACACCTGGAACAAACTAGAGAAAAAAATGATCCCACGTTAAGGTTCAAAATATGCCTTTTTAAATACCCTGAGCATAAATAACTTAGCATAATTTGGGGATTTTTATGACCCCGGTACATATCAAGTGTAAGAAATACTCAGCAAAAAATGCAACATACATGTAAAAATTTAATTTTTCCCCCCTCATCACAAACATTGACATAAATTGGTGAAAAAATAGTGACAAGTTAAAGGGACACTCCAGGCACCCAGACCACTTCTGCCCATTGGAGTGGTCTGGGTGCCAACTCCCACTACCATTAACCATGCAAGTGTAATTATTGCAGTTTTTTTTATAAACTGCAATAATTACCTTGCAGTGTTAACTCCACCTCTAGTGGCTGTCTACTAGACTGTCTATTATCAATGTGTTCCTATGGAGAGCCCTAATGCGCATGCGCAGCATTGACGTGCATGCGCATTAGGTCTCCACAGCCGGCGGGCGGGATCAGTCTCGCCCACCGGCCGACGTAATGAAGAGGAGGAGCGGCGGCGGAAGAAGAAGCAGCAACGTGGGACATGTCGCTGCCTCTGGTAAGTCACTGAAGGGGTTTTTACCCCTTCAGCAACCGAGGATTGGGAGGTGGGAGGGAGAGGGGACCTGCAGACGGGGACCTACAAACGGATTGTTTTCCTGGCACTGGAGAGTCCCTTTAAGGCACAATATACATACCCTGGGGTGTCTGCTTTATCAAATCAAAGCCCATGGGGGGGTTATTTGAACAGTCACACTGCTATAATACCCTAAAATGAAACATAGGCCCGTCAAATCCATCCACGAAAATTCTAACTATAGAAACTGAAATAGCATTGTAGCTTTACAGAAAAGTGCCAAAGGCATACAATGGGGGTATCGTTATACTCAACAGATGTAGCTGAACACAATATGGGGTTCTGTGCAGGAATAGCACACACCAGCTTTACGAAATACACATTGCAAAAACCTTACTCACTTTTAAAACTTTTTAACAGGCAGCAGGGGGACAGCCTGAGAGCTCAGGCAGTCCCCCTGCTGGCACTGCATGAGCCGAGTATTCCGGCCATGTTATTGCAAGGATCCAGCGATCACATGGACTTGGAGGGCCGGATCACAACCGCCGTCGTGGGATTGGCGGGGGACCCGGTAAGTCCCCTGGATGGCAAGGACGTTCTTAAGGGGTTAATCTCACTTTTTATTTCGTCTGGTATGTTCATTGAACGCCGCTCAGTGTCTCCAGCTCCCATTACAGACTGCAGACATTTCACAGGTAAATCTACACATTTCTCAAGACTTAATCAAAACTTACAAGAAGCTTTGAAATTAGGCAAAACTCCGCCCATTACCTATGCTGCTGTTTTAGGAGTTAACCCCGAGGTTTTCAAACTTTTTTGGTTCAAGGCTCCCTTAATATTTCAATATTTTTCCAAGGCATATACTGGGCCCCTGTTCGGCAATGTTTCCCTGTCAGGGGTGGATCCAGAACCTAATCTCAGGAAGGGCACTGGTAGATTATTTAAAGAAATAATCCAGGCACAATAACTACTACAGGACGCTGTGGTGGTTATGGTGCCAGGAGTGCTGTGGTGCCCTCCCAGGGTAAGTAGTCAAACTGTTTAAGTTTGACAACTTACTTGGGGTCTGCCGGGATAGGGGCTGTAGTAGGGGACAGGGACAGTGGTGTGTGTGGGGGGGGAGCAATGTATATGGTGTGTGTGTGTGTGTGTGTATGTGAAGGGCGCAATGTATGTGTGTGTGAGGGGTGCAGTGTTTGTACGGGGTGTATTGTGTTTGTGAGGGATATAGTGTGTGTGTGAAGGATGTAGTGTGTGCATAGGGGGGCAGTGTGCGTATCGTGGACAGTGTGTGTGTGTGTGTATATGGTGGGTCTGTTGGGGTAAAGGGGTAGATTAATAAATAGAAAAAAATTTTTGATTACAAATATCATTTTGATATCCCCCTCTCTTACTGTGACAGAACCATCTGTCTGTCTATTGTGGTGGATTCGTCTATTTCTTCCCATTCGTGTAAAAGGTTGTTTCTATAGCCCAGCCATACGAATGACTCTTTTTTACCGAACAAATCTACCGAACGGATGGCCACCCAGGATAGAAGTGTGGTTAACCGCAGAGACTTCTCAATTAAACCGAATTCAGGGTGGCCGTCGTTCGTATGTCGACCACGAGGCAGTGGCCATTTTAAAACACACGAAAGACCTGCGGTGTTCGGCACTGATTTCATGGAACTAAAAACGGACACTTTTTCTGCCGAACACCGCTGAAACAACAGGTCGCCTGGCTGCCCCGACGAAAGCATACGAACACCAGCCGTTTGGGAGTTTTACATCACACGAAAAGACTTTACACAGATAGCCTTCCCATGGAGTCAATCGCATACCGAAAGACTGTAAGGACTTTGACTCCATGGCGATTGAACTATGTGTGTGGGATCTGAGCGCTATTCGCCAATAATATGCACTCAGATCCAGGCTATCTGGGGATATGTGATACGAATGTGAAATGTTCGGTAGTTGTGAAGTTATATGTTTTTATGTATTGTGACAGAGTCTATGGGAGGGTAATAGAGGGAAGGTATTTAAGACCCAGACACCTCCATAGCCTGTACTCATTCACCTTCCGAATTAGCAACTGCTGAGGCTTTAATTAGCAGGTCTCAGAGCAGAAAGGGGGAGATACAATTTGATCTGCAGAGAGAGCAGGTCTGTGCAGAGCAGCACCAAACAAAGTGCTAAAGGTTGGTGAAACCAATGTTTATTTTGTTGAATTGTGTAGTTTATTACCCCGGTTTAGTAAGGGACATTACTTTATGTTTAGTAAGTGCTCGAATTTGAGCTAGGATTTTGTTTGTAGACTTTCCTTTCTGTTTTGCTGAAGTTTTGAACAAATGGATTGCTGCATGGATTTTTGTGCAAGATGTAAATAAACCACACCATTTTTGCATAAGAGACTGTTGTTCTGTACCTGTTACCCTAGAGGACTGTGTTTCTTTGCCCTTAAAGGTCACAGTATTTTCTGGTATTTTATTTAAGATGGCGATTTGTCCTTGTCCTGGAGATAATTGAATTACTTCCCAATTATCTCCAGGGCAGAGGGGAGGAAACCATACTGCATTGTGGGGAAAAACTTGTGACTGCATGTCTGTTATGTCCCCATGTCCATCTGTAATTCCAGTCTCCCATTTGGTCCACTAGGGGAGTGTCCACCAAGTGGGAGACCTGCATAAATACGGGCAGGTAGCCCACAGTAAAGCCAGATCCTGTTTGACCTCAATGCGGAGCTTCTGGCTCGTTATTGGGGGGATTTAATATTGATGCCTAGAGACTGATTATTAGAACCGAAAGCCGCTTGGTGAATATCTTTGCTCGGCGGTTCGTGGATTTCTGTTCGGGAGTTTTGGAGCCTTTCACGGATCCCGGTCAGGAGATTACCGCTTCCCCTGATGGTTGTTCGTATACTGCAGTCTATTGCGAAAGGGGGAGGTTAACTAAACGGCGGTTTCCCTTAAAGACACCAGGGGTGTCTTAACACTTGCCTTTGCCTGTGAGGGGTGACAGTACTAATCCCTGGTGGTCCAAGTGGTGAGAGTGAACTCTAGCAGCTCCTGAGGCTAGAGTTCACACTTGTGAGATTTGGAGCGTTGCCATCCACGTGTCCTCCCTCCCTCCCCTGCCAGCATTATAGTGCTAGTGGACTGATCTCCCCTCTGGTCCTGGAAAGCTGGCAGAGGAGAGGGAGGCACGGTTCATGGGTGCTATGATTTTATGGGAACCACTGAGTTAACCCGTTCTACTTTACTTCATTAAACATTGCAGAACTGCAAACATATTTAACCCTGCCAGAGCTGAATGGTAACACATACGAATCGTAATACATAAACCATAAAATCAAAATTCAAAACTATATGTGCACCATGTCTAATATATAAAAAGTATACAGAGTCTCATACGTTTCTTAACCCCTTCCCGACGCTATACGAAAATTTCCATAATTTGCTAAAGCTAACCCCAGATTTCCGCGGCGATCGCGGGGTTAACGCTCCTCCAGTCTGCCTAGGTATTCAAGACAGACTGGGAGCACCTGATTGCGCTGTCCCTGCAGCTGTGATCACTCTGACAGGCTATCAGAGCGACTCCTGGTCCGCGTCCCTGCGCTTCCGCGGTCAGTGTGACGTGCAGGGAGACAGCAGTAATCTCCCTGTGTGTGTGTGTGTGTGTGTGTGTGTGTAAAAAAAAAAAAAAAAACACCTTAAGTCAAAGTAATATCCCACCTCCCTTTCCCCAGCTCTAATAAAATTAACCCCTTCACTGCTATTTGATCACGGACTACAGTGATCAAAATACAGATCACACTATTTTACTGTGATCTGATTTATTTATTTTTAATCCCTAATGGTCAAAGCAATGTAAAACCAACATGTTGTCCATTTTCAGCCAGACGCAATAATTTGAAGGGCACTGGCGGATTTGCAAAAGAAAAACTGACATCCGTACTTGACCCTTGATGTGGAAGGCTGTGTCTCCGATCGTCCAAGGGTCACCAGTCGATGTGGTCATGCAGCCAATCTCCAACCCCAAGATGCTCGTCTGAGTCCACAATAAAGATTGGGACAGGACCGAATGGAGCCTTTCCATTCCCCTAGATCTACGAAGCGAGTGGTCTCACCTGAGAAAAAATCTACCACGCGGGGTAGTGTGCAGAGGGGCACCTGGTCACACCCTAGATGTCTCTGGTACTCGAAGCGGATTGAAAAACCTGTGACTGTGGTAGACGAAAAATTCTTAAGGGCGCGTTAATCTAAAATCCCAAGAAAAGGGAGTTGAGGAGGGCCTGATAGAATACAAGTCACACGAAAGATGGGGCATAATTGAGTGAGGTGTATATAGGTCCATGTGTTTGTGAATTTCTGAAGAATGTTACTCTCAAGAATAGTCCCTAAGTCAAGGTCTGAAAGCTTGGCATCTATACGAAGGAATACTACCTATCTTCGTTCAAAGCACCACAACATTTTAGCCTTGCCTATTATGCCTATAGAACATGTGGTGAAAGTAACCTCGCAACTTGTACTTAGAGAGGCCTGCTTGCCAGCCTCTTGCTCTGTGACTATGGCCCCTGGGATATATTGCCCTTTAAAAACACTATTTAGGCATATTGGATTTTAAAGGCACTGTTTCTGCCCCTTGGACTTCTAACTGGACCAGATTCAAACATGTGGCGGCGACCATCTTAACTTTCCAGCAGGGTTTTGCCGTCGAGTGTACGCAACTGTTTTGGGCATGGGACCATGTGCACGGTGCAAAAATAAGACTTCCAGGAAATTCCTGAACCAATCTGGGTCATTTTTGGATATGTTTTGTGAGGATATGTTGCATTTTGGGGTACTTTTGGGGGTTTGTAAAAATGTATGTCACCCTCCAATACTGAGTTCAGTATATGCGTTGCAATAGTCTGTAAATTAATAAAACTAAACATGGCTACCAGGATCTCGCGCAAGTGTGTGGGAACCAAAATGGCCGCCGGTACCTTAGGAGGTGCTGGAGACGTTCTTCGTGATCCTCGAGAGCCCGGGAGTCGGAGGAGGCCTGAACAGGGCTGGTGCTGCTGCAAACGGTGGCCTCCTCCTTCCCCAGCAGCTTGGCAGTGAGGCCCCCCTCCCCAGCAGCCTGGCGGTGTGGTCCTCCTCCCCAGCAGTTTGGCTCCCTCTGTGTCTCCCCCCGTGGCACCCTCCATGGGCACCCACCCTCCGGCTCAGGCCCGGTACAGGAGCCACAGCCCGGGAGCCACATGGGCGCAGCCGCTCCGTTTCCCAGTCCTTCCGGCGCCCCTGTTGTCTGGGCGGCGGCAGCTGTTCTGGACCGTGTGCCTCCCGGATGCAGTGGGAGGGCGGCTGCATGGCAATCGTGGTAAGTGGGCCCCTGCGGGGCGCGTGGGGTGGCTCTGGGCCACTGCCGCAGGGTGGGGAGGGGGTTCTGGATCCTCCTCATGGTCTCCGGGGGGTCTCCTTCCCCTCCCTCTTATACCTGGGCAGGGTCTGCGTGCGATGTGGGCTCCCCTTCTCCCCCCTCTTTTGTCCCCCCTTTTCATTGTGGTGTTCCCCTCTTCTATTATTGTGTCCCTCCTCTTTTATTATTGGTTCTGCCCCATTGGTCTCGCAGCAACGACCAGGTTGTTGCTTGAAGTTTCATGTCAGCCGATGTAAGTGGGGCGGGTGGTGCTGCTTTAATCATGAATGCTCCCATCGTGGTGGGGCTCACTCTGCCTCCCGCTGTTTCAAGAGGAGTAAGTCCAGGGAGAAAGGGGACTTGGGGGCTCAGAGCGACGACGCCAGTGCTCGTAAGCACGATGCGCCCATGGCTCGACTGCTATTGGAATCGGCAGGCCGTGGGGCTCCTACTGGAGGGGGTCACCCAAGGCTTCTGGATCCCCTTCTCGGAATGCCGGGCTTCGGGGCGGTGCGCAACTTGAAGGAAAGGTTAAAGGAACTTAACATGTATAGCTTGGAGGTGTCATACCTCTCTGCGGCCCGCGCCGATCCAGTCCCGCCGTCCTTCCTGCTCCACCGGGCTGTGCGGACCTCTGGCTGGCATCACGCGTTCAGGTGCGCGGGGCGTGCACACGCGCACGCTGGTTCCAACAGGGGTGTGCGCGGCGTGTCCCGAAATGCTTAAAGGGACAGCACCCAGGTATTACTCTCTATTTATATTCTACACTATTCTATCCCTATCCTATCAGAGCCTACCTAGCCCTATTTATACCCCCTTCTTACATCACTTCCTTGCCCTGTCGTGGCTTATTGTAGCCCGAGAGTGCGTTCTGTTAAATTGTGTCTCTTTGGTATCTGACTTCGGCTTGTCTTGTGGTTATTATCTCTGGCTTCCTTGACCTTTGGCTTTGTTTTCTGATTACGCTTACTGCTCTAACCCTGACTTTGGCTCGTCTGACGTTCCTATTTTGTATTTCTTCTCCACATTAAGTCCGGCCACTTTAAGGACCAGTAATATGTTTACCTGGGGTTACATTTCTTGTCCTTTAGTTTGCGTGTTGGGGAGCTCAATGTAGCGGATGGCACTGGGCTGTCCTGCAAATTTCATGTGAATAACTGCATTTGTGTAAACTGCTAGTTTTATATGTGTTTTAAAAGAAATGTATTCCTCTGATTGTTCGGTAGAATCATTCGAATAAGCTAAGGGAATGAAACTACCGAACAATCAGACCTCCCCTGTGTGAAGTGTGCCTTCAATTACCCGTTGCAACAATGTTGCGAACGGGTAATTGACGAGCTATGCAGTAGGTCCTTTGTCTCGGGGTGACAGCCATTCGGGAAACGAACACGTGGTGGCGGCCATTTTACAAACTCCGTGTGACAGACCCATCTGTCTGGATTACAAATGCTTTGTTCGCCTGTTTTGCCGGTTGCATGAATTTCCCCATTCGTATGCTTTATTCAAGGGAATGTCGGTTTTTGTCGAACGAAACTACCGAACGAACGGCCACCCAGAAGAGAAGTGTGCTGCTGGTTAACCTATTGATCCCAATTAGAACGTTGCGGTTAACCACAGACACTTCTCAATTAAAACCGAATGCCGGGTGGTCGTCGTTCGTATGTCGACCACGAGGCGGCGGCCATTTTATCCATGCGAAAGACCAGCGGTGTTCGATTATTTCATGGATCTGAAAACGGACACTTTTTCAGCCGAACACCGCTGAAGCCGTCGACCTCCCCTTCTCAATCGACAAAAGTATACGAATGCCAGCCGTTCGGGAGATTCAACCACACGAATGGACTTAACCCAGATAGCCGCCCCATGGAGTCAATCGCATACCGAAGAACTGAAATAGACTTTGACTCCATGGCGATTGAACTGTGCGAATGGGATCTGAGCGCTATTCGCCAATAATATGCACTCAGATCCAGGCTATCTGGGGATA